GTCCATACCATCTCAGCCTTACTTCCTTCACCTTCTCTGCAATGTCTACCACCCCACATCTTCTGATCTCTTCATTCCATAATGTATCTGACCAGCTCTCGTTGATCTCTTCTTATTACGTGTCCATACCATCTCAACCTTGCTTCCCTCACCTTCTCTGCAATGTCTACCACCCCACATCTTCTGATCTCTTCATTCCATAATGTCTCTGACCAGCTCTCGTTGATCTCTTCTTATTACGTGTCCATACCATCTCAACCTTGCTTCCCTCACCTTCTCTGCAATATCTACCAGCCCACATCTTCTGATCTCTTCTTATTTTTTCTTTAAAGAATCCAGATGATAGAAAGACAAGAGAATTCAAAATCCAAAATTTTGTGGATGGGGTAAGTTGATCACCACACTCCACCGTAACTTGAATGAGATTTGAACGTGACTGTTTAACCACAATCCTAACATTCCTTGCACTCATTAAAGTATAATACTTTTCCAGCTCTGTTTTATACACTCTAGCCCTTTATACGTAACATTGCATCTTTCAGGTACGCGAAGCAGACTTAGAACTAAAACTAAACATTGAAGACATCAATGACGTTACACCCGAGTTTACGAATCTACCTCACACCATCACTGTTAGCGAGGTAAGTTAGAAATTAGAAAAAGCATAAATAATGTAAATGAATAATATTGATTATGTAAGAGGACTGCAATGACCTCCTTGTATATATACTGCAAACACATGGTTTTGAAAATCTCACTGTTTTCCATGTCATCCAATCATGTTCCAGTGATCGAAATGTTCCATTGTCTTTTTCATCAAAAATCCTCAATATTTTTATTGGTATTAGCATTTATGCAAAGGCATATTGCAATGTTAATCTTACGAGATTCATGGCGCAGATAACAGGACAAATGAAGTCCGAATTAAAGTTTTGTCATACATAACACAGTACATTGTACGGTAAAATAACGTTGATCAACTTAAAACGTGCATATTATTTCATTTGCACAAAAACATTCGCTTTTAATTATTCTAAGAAGAAGTGTAAAAAAGATAGAACAAAAACGTTTTCCAATTCTTGGGCCTGTCAAAGCATGTTTTAAATTTATCCGGTTCATGGTTTTTGGTGAAAAAAAGTGAAAAATTTTATTCCTTTTAATTAGGTTCTTGGTGTTGGCTCAAATTTATTCACCATAACGGGGAAAGATGGTGATGGTGATGGTAGCGGTTCACCAACCGATTTCAATATCATAGAATTTTCGATAGCTGATGGGAATATTGTGAGTATATAGTCTGCTTGATAGAGCTGTTTCAAAGTTGCAAACAGAAGTTGAAATAAATAGAATAATTGTACTTGGTCACCAGCCTTGGTCTGCTCGCCAAGTATAGTATCAGGTATATAGTATAATAAATTGATCTATGTATTCGTTAGTAACGGAATATTAAATTAAACAGATTGTCAGTCGCGATTTACCTTTGGCAAATATCTGGTCGCCAGCTGAAAAAACCCCTTAGTCGTTGTAACATATGTGACAATGTTTTAATTGGCAATGCATTCCGTTTTAGGGTGACTTGTTTTCCCTCGAGTATGGATCTCAAACATCTTGGGAGTTGAAATTGAAATCGCGACTTGATTATGACGAAGGGCCTGAAATTTATAACCTCACTATTAAGGCAACTGTAAGTATTATTTGCATTTTATAATTGCTGCGGAGCGAGCGAGCCTGAAGCGAGCGAGCGTAGCAGCAGCCTAATATATGCAGAGAGGGGGTTTTGAACTAAATTTTATTTAGCGCATGGAATTGTGGTCGTGCGCGCTTTCTATGCGCAGAACACAAATTTTAAACTCGTTCGAGCAGTTCGAATTTTTATCGAATTTCTAAAGCTTTTTCAGTCTAATGTTACGCTTACATTTGTTTTGGACTTTGGCCACGGTCAGTTCTATATTTTTATAAAGTTTTGGTTTCTTAGTGTGGTAAATCTGTGTATATAGACCCTATATAGTCTATATAATGTGGTAAATGCGCCCATATAGCAGTAAACAGACTTGATATGAAATCTGATCTTAACTATATGTCAATGAGACGCACATGTTTAATATCTGTCACATCTGATTGCCCTTTAACCCCTGGTCTTTGTAGCCTACGGTGTAGACCCCACGTGTTTCTGCTGGGGTCTACACCGTAGGCTATGGTCTTTGCTACTTCAATATATATTGCTTCTTCTCAGTTCCATTCACAGCTCACTTGTCGCTGCGAGTAATCACTGTGCTTGATATAATTTGTGCTGTTTACTGTAGTTCTATTTGCTTTTAATGCCCGCAGCAATCCCTACCTTGCAGGTACCCTAGTTCAACAGATTTATTTCGCGTTCGGCATAAATGATCACTTTTCATGAATCATGAATACTTATTTGGTCACTGAAAATCACAGAACTGTTCCCGTTTTTCAGGGCAAATACACTTGACTACACAAAGCTCTGCTTTTCGGATGCGTAGATATTTAAAAAATTCTGGTTAACACTCTCTATGTAAACATGCCCTTATCAGTTGGTCTTTTGCTATGTAGTCGACGTGTGCGGATGTCGCAATTTGAGGCGCTATATATGCATGTATAGTTAACGTTTCCTTTAACTAATTACGTCATAGTCGTTTCCGGCTTTTGTTGCCTGCCGCCTAGCCATCCTGTTGCGCTGTTGACTTTTTGTGGCTAGCCCGTTTGCGGGCTAGCCATTATCACATAGTACACAAACGCGATGAGCGATGATGATGGTGTCCAGTCCGAATTTTCGTAAAGTATCGGGAGCAATCGGAAGCGCCCGTATTTTTCTGCCGACATTTCACATTTGCATTTCGAGGCAATACTAGTGATGTTGTTAGTTTGTTACGACGCAGTACTGGTGAGGTTGTTAAACCAGAAAATTAAAATAAAGTTTATCTTCATGGCTTCAACCTATGGTGTCGAAACCGATCAGAAATTGCGCGTCCTTGCCGTGTAAATATGGGTTTTGATTTACACTTTTGACTGATTTGCGGGCCATTTGCCATCTTGAATTGTCTTCTTGTTGAGATTTCATATCTCAATTGCATTCGAAATGTTTGGTATTTTAAAGAAGGGGTATTGTTTGGAGGAGGTACGTTTATAATGCAGCGAATAAAACCAGCATTGGATAATTATGGTAAAAGACCAGAAACTGTACATCGAACTCGTTTATTTAAAGGCTTTAAGTATACCTTTTCTTCAGACATTGACGGCGTCTCAAATGTCTACATATTTGTAATAAACCTATAAAGGTTTATTGCGTCTGTCTGTCTTAGGAATTATATAGTGGAATAATTCAGCATGATTTGTCTCACGTTCTCTTATAAGTTGACTAATATTGCATTAAAAGTGGTAAAAGTTGGTGTGCTAACCAAGATTTCAGTGTATTTGCTTGCTAATATTGCTAGGCCTATATCTCAAACGCTATTTGCCTATTAAAATATCATATGACACGCAATTTTAATTCCACGGCAAAACTGCTGTTGCGCAAATAACAAACGCGAGATTAAATAAATATGGCAGTATTACAGTTTAGTAATATTGCATTAAAAGTGGTAAAAGTTGGTGTGCTAACCAAGATTTCAGTGTATTTGTTTGTTAATGTTGCTATATCTCAAACGCTATTTGCCTACTAAAAATATCATATGACACGCAATTTTAATTCCACGGCAAAACTGCTGCTGCGCAAATAACAAACGCGAGATTAAATATATGGCAGTATTACAGTTTAGGTATCTTTTAAATTGCTAATAGATCACACGGAAACTTTTTACAATCGTTATATTCAAAAGCCTAGCGTGCAAATTCACATATTTGTGTTTATTCAAGTGTTATTCATGAATTCGCTATTTACATGGGAAGCGACGAGATATGACACGGTATTTTTCAAGTGTACCGTGAAACTCCACTGAGAAAATGAGCCTGCACAAGTGGGAGAAAATTTGCGCATTCTGACCATCGTCGTGTGTCTTCTTATTACTATTAAAGTTAACCAGCATGGCAGGCTTTCTGGGTTTGGAGGAGGGTTTGGGGAGTTAAAGTTTACCAGGCTAGCCACATGTACGCATTGCGTACCTATTTTTTTATAGTTCGAAGGCAAAGTGTTTTTATCATTTGTCTTTTCAATGAAATCTTCATCATACATTTACTATAGGGCCTGTTAACAAATATATTGTCACAGAGCAATGTATCATATAGAAGCACCATACAATTCAAGCCTTACTATAGAATTAATTAACAGAACATCGAATTTTACAGAGGACCACCTGGACGCATAAATTGGCGTTTTATATTCCAGATATAAGGTTTATATTATGAATCATACCGGTTCAGTAATAATGCAACCGTATTTAACATTGCAAATACAATGTCATATAATATGAAGAATTTCGGTAGCGATATCTTATATAACGCAGCGAATCTCAATTAAGTAATGCAATAACATGTGGACGTATTGTTTGAGGGTTAAAATATTTCATTGAAAAAGCGTAAACATTTACAGGGTTAGCTTTGAAAGGGTATTATAACCCCTATCACGGCTGTCGCGAATGACTATACGTCGACTAACCACTTCGCCGCAAGTGATCAACGCTCGAGTCCCAATTTTTAGTAGATGATGCTAACCCTTAATTAGATAAACATTGTGGCGTTTATAAATATGCCGAAAAGATTTTTCTAAAAGTTCCAACCAAGCCCACATTGTTAATTATGCATTATTGACATTGAAATGTTACGAGATACACACAAATTACAGTTTTGTTTGGTGGGAACTGGATAGGCGTGTACATCATAGCTCGCTTAATAGTTGCGCCAAACAGATGCGTATGCGGCTTGTATGTCAATACTCTAGCGATAACAATTATAACATGCATTGATATTGTTAATGGTTGAAATTATTATACTTACATTTTGACTCCATCTTTCCTTTCCACGTCCAAAATATAGCCGTTATAGCGACTAAGGTGATCGGGAAATCTAATAAAATACTTCATCTTAAAATAAAAATTGGCAACGGATTTATAACTGTTTTCTCCAATCTTTGAGTGTATTGATGTCCGTCGGTCTCGATCCGTTCGGACAGATAGCGATTTCTTTGGAGAAGGAGAAGACATGTTTAGAGCAGGATGTCAATTGCGATGCTAGTCACTGTACTTTCGCCGAAGACGAAATGAGAGACAAATGACAGTTCATGGTGATCAAATGCAGAACTAATTATGCTCGCACGCGTGCGCTTAACACCTTTATAGTGCAACGGAGATGTCGTATAGGTCTACATTAAGGTATATATTCCTATATATCCAATGATTATAATCGTAATTTATTTACCTCTTTTAATTGTTTATATTGCTTTGTATGCCAGTTTCACAACATGCAGCTCTATAGCCACTTCGGTGACATGGCGTTTGAGCGGTTGAAGTGGAAATATGAAAATATGCATGGGAGAGTAGTAAAAAATAACAGAAAAATTGGTTAAATATACCCAATTTGTGGTTCTTTTAACCACAATTGAGTTAAAATTTTTTTTGCAATTCAAATTGGTTATTTTAACCAATCTGTTTTCACAGTGCAGTTGGTAGGTTATCCGATAATCAGTCAATATATATAGGTAAAATACCGCTATAACAATATTAAATTCTCTGTTTGGAATAACGGTAACCGGAAACATAAACTTTACACAAAACAAGTTGTTGGTGTCAACCAAATGGCATTAATTAAACATGAAATTTGTGACTCCGGGACCTCAAAATTTGAAAAACACAAAAACTTGACTTGATTTCAATTTTAAAAATTTGCGAGTAACGTTATTCATATACAACTACTGTATATTTATCACGGCATGCGGCATCTTTTTAGTGTCAGCTTATTTCCAATGTTTATTACTCTTATTGCACTATTCCCTTATAATTGCTTTGCTTACTGCTTATTCCCTTGCATGCTTATTACCTTATTACCCTATTACCTTATTGCTTGCTTATGTGTGATTGTTCCCTTGCATGCTTATTACCTTATTACCCTATTACGTTATTGCTTGCTTATGTGTGCTTGTTCCCTTGCATGCTTATTACCTTATTACCTTGTTACCTTATTGCTTGCTTATGTGTGCTTCTTGCCTTGCATGCTTATTACCTTATTACCTTGTTACATTATTGCTTGCTTATGTGTGCTTGTTCCCTTGCATGCTTATTACCTTATTACCCTATTACCTTATTGCTTGCTTATGTGTGCTTGTTCCCTTGCATGCTTATTATCCTATTACCTTGTTACCTTATTGCTTGCTTATGTGTGCTTGTTCCCTTGCATGCTTATTACCATATTACCTTGTTACCTTATTGCTTGCTTATGTGTGCTTGTTCCCTTGCATGCTTATTACCTTATTACCTTGTTACCTTATTGCTTGCTTATGTGTGCTTGTTCCCTTGCATGCTTATTACCTTATTACCTTGTTACCTTATTGCTTGCTTATGTGTGCTTGTTCCCTTGCATGCTTATTACCTTGTTACCTTGTTACCTTATTGCTTGCTTATGTGTGCTTATTCCCTTGCATGCTTATTACCTTATTACCTTGTTACCTTATTGCTTGCTTATGTGTGCTTATTCCCTTGCATGCTTATTACCTTATTACCTTGTTGCTGGTCTATGCCATGTGCTTAATTCACCAGGAATATAACATGTGCATTGCATATACATTTTGCAATTATGATAAACCTCAGAACCGTTTTTACCTGTCCAACCTGCCCATGCAACTTGAACACTTATTACGCAATTACGAGTAATAAGACAAAAAAACGCAATATACCGGTCTTATAGTGGGCATGGTATAGAAATTATTGTACTAATCACTATTTTTCATGATAATTTTGAAACATACGCATTTTTGTTCGTACATATTTTAAGTTTAATGCATGCAATCTTTAAGGTTAGATATGCTTATGTTTACCTGCCCTGACTGTATTTTTTCATTTTATTATATAATTCGGCTATTTTGTCAATAACCACAGCTGGACAAAGGACTATTCTTCGAACTACAGTATCCATAAAACTATAAACATGAACCTCACGACATTCAAGTTCATAACACGGTAATCCTTCCGGAATCAAAATTAAAGGCTGTTTTGACACACAGTGCACACAGAGAAGCTCGTGTCCACCCAAAAACGAAGCTTTCTTTCCATGCATACTGCAAAAATCCACCATTTTACAATTTTTTTTCAATAAATGTTTTCTGAACTCTTGAAACCTCGAGGTGTAAACACAGCGAAAGCCGACCGAACAATGACGGCGCAGAGCGAGAAATCGATAATATGTAAAAAACCGCGCCTGGCTGCATTGCATGCTGGTATAATCCCCACTCCTCCTCTGGGTCATAAAGTAATTACTAGAGGGGGTGGAGGATAAATGAAATTTCAAGTACATATTTCCATACCTCCCAAAAACCTCCCAAAAACCTTTCGTAACCTCCTTCAATGTAAGTGAAAATTTTCATATCCCCCCTCTTCTATCATTAATTCTGTTTTAATATTTGTCTTGCTTTTATCTATATTTCGAAACTCTCCAGTTTGTGCCTCAACATTTTCCACAGTCTCCAATTCGTCACCAGTCTCTTCTGATTCTGATTCTGACATACTAGCAATGGGCTGAGGGTAAGAACAAAGAAAAATTTGTTTTGGGTTTATTTCAAACAGAAAAAATGTGCTTCCATTCAATGTGACACTTTTTCATCAGGTTCTAATAGTGTGAGCTTGCTAGCATTGACAATTCAGATGTATCAGATTTGTACTCCAAAAGTTCCACGGATACTGAATCCTACTTATCATCTGACATTGAGTCAGACTGAAACATATATACTTTGTGTTGATTTATTAATAATTATAGTAAAAAAATGCTGTACCTATAGTACTATGTTTATTTACCCTAATCACTATGAATGTTTAAGTTATTAACTGCTCTCAGAGTATATTATAGGATACATTAAAAGCTTTAGAAAAACAAACACATTTGGCTACTATCAATACTGACACTTGTTATCATATTTAAAAATCTGGGCACAAATACATTCAATATTCAACACTAATTATAAAATGTGATTTTTTCCCGTACCTAAAAAGTACTAAGATTTTGGTATCCCCCTAGAGGTCTGTTGTTTTTCTCGTACCCCCCTCAGAGGTTCTGGATTTTTTTCCTACCCCCCCAAAATATCCTCCACACACCCCTAGTAAATACTTTATGACTGGTCGCTAATCACACATAACATTTGTAATTATAGTTTTAAATGCTTTAAGAACAGCATCATGTCAACATTTTTTGCCTTCAGTCTGTTGCCTTCATGACATATGAAGCGATTGGTCAGAAATACTAATCAAAAACATCGCAGGCTCAAGTGGTATCGAATTACCGATACTTTTTGCGAGTATCGAAAGTATTGATACTTTTGTAAGTATCGATGATTTCGATACTTTATCGATAGTATCGCCCATCACTACCAGTTGCAGTTGGTCGGTACGTTAGGATCAAAACTGCGTTTTAAAGCCTTCAAAATAAAATATTTTGGGCTCAAGATACTATCAAAATGAGGAGAAAAGTTAGACGAATCCACTGGCATACGGCCGAAAACGAGAAAACCAACAATTCCGAAGTTATCAAGGATCAAACGGACTGCATTTTTAATTAGTTTAATAATTTTGAGCGATTTGTCAACAATACAATTTCGCTTATTAAGGTAATTCCGCTGTTTTGCATTGCGCACTTTTACTGCGCACATCTTATAACTTATAATTTCATCCATTATACGTACCGTTTAAAAAAAAAACATTTTATGACAATTTTATGTTACTTCAAAACATTTTTGGTTACATTTGTGCAAAGAATTACGTTAAAATCAATGTTTTCAAAAAAGGCATACAAAAGTGTAGCTAGGGTTCCCTGTGTCTGTAGTATATTTATTTACTTGTATTTCACGTTTTAATGCCACAATTCCCTAAAAAGATCGGTGACCCCCGGTTTTTAACTGATAATTTATTTCTTTAATGCATTTTACATTTCATATCCGAATTTAAAAGAAAAATCATTTCTGGATCTTGAAAAAAAATCCTTTATCAATGCATATTCTCAAAGAAAGATATGTAAAGAAATGTGGCCACATGTGAAAAGAGATTTGTGGATCAGAATTGTACACGTTAGTAGTTTCATTTTGCTCAAAACACAGTATTTTTTCAAAAATAATTACAAAAGGGTTACTAAAGCAAAATCCGCGCTAAAAACATCAAATAAATATCGGGCTGTTGTGATTTTGCTGTTACTCGTAATGAGCGTCAAGATGGCGCCATATTGGGGTAAAGGTGGTATATTGTGATTGTCATATCTTCTTAACGAGTTCGGTGACCGCGACTTTTTTGTGTGATTTTACTTTAAGTATATCATAAACTCCATGCCTGGGAAGTTTAAGCACATTCTCATTTCGGGAACAATTACTGCGGAATTACCTTAAAACTGCACATTAAAACCTTCAAAATATAATATTTTGGGCTCAAACTACTAACAAAATAAAGAGAAAAGTGAGACGAATCCACTGGTATACGGCCGAAAACCAACAATACGAAAGTTATCAAGGTCAAATGTACTGCATTTTTAATTAGTTTAATCATTTTGAGCGATTTGTCAACAATACAATTTCGCTTATCTTCCAAAGGCCATAAATCGCTAGAATACTGTTGTTTAGTAATACATTCGACATCTGTTAGTATAATGTCATACGCTGAATCGAACGGTGGTATTTTTGTCCTTATTGGGCGCATAAAACCAGAGATAAGGCGCAGCAAAAAGTCAATCGTGAGAGTCCGAGATTAATTCGAAAGAAAACTATCCTCGAAAAAAGGAATTCGGAAAACGTGAAGGATTATTTCGAGCGGCTTGTCTTTCAAAGGCCATAAATCGCAAGAATAGAAATCAATTTTGAAATCAATTTTCCATCCGTAAATACAAGTTTTCACGCTGAATCAAACAGTAGTATTTTTGTCCTTGTTTGACGCATAAAACCACAGAAATAATCCTAGCAAGTAGTCGATCTTGAGAGTATACAATATTAATAACAATTAATAAATTCCGAGCACGTGCAAGGAATTTTTAGTAGGCGATTAAGGAAACGTATTGCGAACACACTAACAAACAAACGGACAAACTCACAGGCAGAATATAATGCGGTTCCAAAAATGGCACGGGCACCGCAATTTATATAGTATTTTGACGTATATGTGATTCTCGACGTTGATCGGTGCAGAACACTCACTCCTTGCGATAGAAGTGTAAAGTGCGGAGGTGGAAGCATGTAATATGATACTTTTCCCTCACCCCTTTAGACAATCAATTTTCTGGGAGTCACGTGACCAGCGGTAACCAGGGTTTTCCTTGCCTCAAGCGTGATAAAAACCCTGGCTTGCGAGGCTGTGGGGAAATAAGGAATTTAACATTTTTTGCAGTTACATCTCTATCAGATTTGACCATTAAAATGGAGCGTCAATCAACCCTGTAGGTCGTGTAAATACTATCAAGTTTCTTCACCCTGGATTTGAAATTAAAATGTCCAAACCAATTAAAATTATCTTGATAAAAATGTTTAGGCCAATTGTTTAGGATCCATATTTTTTTGGCCATCCCCTGATTTTTTTGGCCTTACACCTTTAACTTAACTACCATCTGAAACTATTTTACACATATAACTAAAACATTAACGCAACAGTGCTGACTGAACTATCCTTCAATATCACAGTTTAAGTATTTTTGCACAAGTGAACATAACAAATCCTACACGTTGACTGGTCAAATTTGACGTAATAAGCTGTTTTGTTATATAGCTAGTGTGAACACCAAACATGATTGGCTGATTTGTAGTCACGTGGCTTTAGATAAATGCAATGTATCCCGCCCGGGCAATAAGTGAGAAATTGTTGCCCGCCCCGACCGGCTACGTACATAAATAAACAAAATGGCGGCACAAATTTATACTATTTAAACTACTGTTTTGGTGGCTTTGTGTTAAAATAAAGAATGTAAAAGAGAAGAAAAATACATAACAGGCAACAGGATATGCTGCTGAAACCATTTAAGTAGGTTTTTTAAATTTTAAACTCGTTTACGCTATAGAGTTTTTGTCATGAAATACAAATATTGTTGTATGAATGTTGTTCAATGTTGATATTTGTTTCGTCGCTATATAACAAAACACTTAACGTCTTTTCCCTCGGGAAATAGTTAGTTTTGTTTTCCCTCGAATCTCAATGTTGAGATTCTCGGGAAAACAAAAACATTGAGATTCTCGGGAAAACAAAACTAACTATTTCCCTCGGGTGCAGACATTAAGTGTATAATATTCACCTACAGGTGAATATAACAAAACAGAAATTTTAAAAATGGCGGCTACCCGTTTTGTGGAAGTTCACTGACAAAGAAATAAGCGAAATTAAAATAAATGCAGTCTCAAAAAACACAAAAGCTTGTGTAATAATACTAAAACAATTATTCGCCTCGGGCTCGGTGATTGTCGGGGAATATTCACCTCGACGTCGTCTCGCCGAATATTCCCCGATAATCACCTCGCCTTCGGCGAATAATTGTTAAATATTTGAATACCACTGAAATAGTTACACAAAATATTACTACTATTGCACTATATTTCTTGTGAACATGGGTGTATCAATTGAACAGTACAAAATGGCGGCTATCGGTTCGCAGGCAAACTTACTTAAGCAAAGGGAAATTCAAAGACGTCTTAAAAACGATTTCTGGAACACAATGTTAATCTTGTTTTACATGACTGTTTTTTACTTACTAACATTTAAACGACTAGTACTACAATATGAAAGTAACAATGAAACTATTGCCTGGATTTGTTTATAATAAGTGTGCAACTAAGTATCGTCCTACAATTAGAATTGTAAATATTTTAATCTGGAATAACCGTTTCAGCGTAAATTACTGGTATGTCAATGACCTGTTTATGCACGCATATATTATTTTCTGATTATGTTCTAGACTAGCTAGTGCTTGTCGGCCATTCACTTTTTAAAATTGTCGATGGACTACTGGGTAGGGTGGGGCAACGATTTATTGCTATTCGTAGATTCATGTACGCGTAGCGTACCTATTTTTAAAGTATTTGATTCACATTCACGGGATTCGTTTGGAATGCCACACTCTTTTGGGAAATGTGTCCTATTATCAATTGTCAGTATTCATAGTCTTGCTATATATTTTCAAACTATTTCTACTCAAGTTGTAAGTATATCTTTCAATGCTTTTGATGAGATGGCTGTGAATAAATCATCTGGTGAAAGTGAACTGAACCAGTCATGTATCGAACTTGAACAAGTTGCAAATAGTCAAAGAAACATAACTACAGAACGTGGTGGGAAGACATTAACTAAAAAGCAACTATATGATCAAAAGAGACTACAAAATGAAACACCAGAACAGAGAGAAAAACGATTGTCAAGGAAAAGGGAGCTGTATAAAAGGAAACAACATGAGGAGAATGACACTTCTGAGATAAGAAAGGAACGGTCATCTAACAAAAGGCGGTGTAATAGACAAAGACTTGAGAATGAAAACACCTGACAAAAAAGAGGAACGACTACCAAAAAATAGGCAGTATAGTAGGCAAAGACGCGAGAGTGAAACACTTTTGAAAATAGAGGAACGATTATCAAGGAATAGACAATTGTTTTCACTGAATTGAATGAAGCATGTAAAAGGCGAAGACATGAGAATGAAACACCTGACGAAAGAGGCAAAAGATTATCAAAGGAAAGACAAAGAAATGAATCTAATTCAATCGCTGATTTAGTAGCTAAATTGCATGAAGTTGTATCAGCAGGACCGTTGTATACATGTACATGTTGTATACATGTACATGTTATAGTCAATTGTGATATAAGCATAGTGTTTGTCCAGCAAAAAGAACACGGCTTAGTAATCCTGACATGGTAAAACACTTACAAAACGTAATTAGTGTTGACAATAAAGAATGGATGTGCCAATCATGTAATCGATATCTCAAGAAAAATAAGGTTTCCCCGTGTGCCATAACAAATGGAATGAAATTTCTGGCAAAACCAAATTTTTTTATCTTAATGAGTTGGAATGCAGGCTGCTTGCTCCCAGATTAGCATTTCAAAAGATTATGCAAGCACCTAGAGGAAAACAATTGAAAATAAATGGTAACGTCGTAAATGTTCCAGCAGATGTTAATAGCACTGTTAATATGTTACCAAGAATGCCACATGAAACTGGTACAATTAAAGTTCAGTTAAAACGCAAGTTACAAGACAAGAGCGCAGCATTGTCTCTAAATATTAGACCACACCAAGTTTTTAAAGTAGCTGCCTGGTTAGCAAATAACAGTTCTCTTTATCAACAAGAAGGAATTGTTCTCAACCAAAAGTGGGATGAAAGTTTTAATGCGCGCGATGATAATGTAAATATAGAACCAATACCTGATGAAAATGCCGAGGATCTTAATGAAAATGTTGACAATTCAAAAGATGTTGACTTCAGTGAAGACGAAGCTGAAATACCTGCTGGCGTCACGGATACAATTAACAGCTACAGATTTTCTAAATGATAGTGAAAGACAACAAATGCATAATGTTGCACCTGGAGAAGGTAACAAGTATATTTCGAGATAAATATTTCGAAGAATTAGCTTACCCTGGGATATTCGTACGGCAAAAAAGACCCGAGGACACAGAGCGACTTACTAGTGTTTACTATAGTGATATATGCAAATCTGAATTAAGGAGGTGTGACCGAAGAGCAGCAAGGTGTATCGAAAACATTTTTTTCAAAGCTAAAAACTACAAATGAAGATTCTTTTGGGAAAATCACAAATTGCTTTCCGAAAATGCAAGGGAAATAATGGAACTTTAACCGCTGGCGAATTGAAGAATCCAGGCAGACTTGAGAGATTAATACATCATGATGAAGGTTACAAGTTTCTAAGAGCACTTAGAGGATCTCCACCATATTTTGAAAAAGCCAAGAAAGATTTGTTTGCTATGATTCGTAAACTTGGACCAGCAACATTGTTCTGTAGTTTTTCATCTGCGGAAACAAAATGGATTCACTTACTCAGAATACTTGGAAAACTTGTTGATAATAAAAATTATAGTGACAATGAACTAGAGAATTTGAAATGGGAAGAGAAATGCAGGTTAATTCAAAGCGATCCAGTAACTTGTGCAAGGCATTTTGACTATCAGTTTAACACGTTTAAAGGCGTTTCTCACGAGTAGCATTGCTCCTATAGGAAAAATTAAAGACTGGTTTTACAAAGTTGAATACCAGCAAAGAGGCTCACCTCATATTCATATGATGATATGGTTAGAAGATGCTCCTGTATTTGGCGTTGATAAGGATAATGTAATCTCGTTTATTGATCAAATAATTATTTGTGAAAAGCCAAATGACAATCCTGAATTACTTGATCTGGTTTCGACAGACTCGCAGATATTCTCATGCATGCAGAAAAAAATCAAAGAATATTTGCAGATTTAACTATGCGCAGCCACCAATGAGGACCACAAAGATTTTGTACCCGCTAGATGATAGCTTTTCTTCGACGAGTAAAAGAAAACTAAAAGAATCATGGAGAAATATCCAAAAAACATTGAATGCCCTTAAAGAAGGAGAAGATACCACTTATGACCAACTTTTTAGTAACTTGGGTATACCAGAAGAATCTTATATTTTGGCAATTAGATCATCTCTGAATTGTCCAACCATATTCTTGAAACGAAAGCCAAATGAACTAAGGGTCAATAACTATAATCCTGCCTGTTTAAGTGCTTGGAGAGCTAATATGGATGTCCAGTTTATACTTGATGTATATGCATGTGAGTCATGTGCCATGTACATAGTGTCCTATATCTCGAAAGCTCAAAAAGGAATGAGTGAATTGTTGCGAAAAGCTTGTGCTGAAGCTGAAGAAGGAAATTCAAACATTAAACAACAAGTAAGAGACATTGGAAATAAATTCTTAAATACTGTTGAAATTAGTGCCCAAGAAGCAGTTTACATAATTTAGCAATTGCCAATGAGAAAATCGTCTCTACAGGTAGTATTTATTAATACATCACCTGATGAAAGAGTTCAGCTTTTAAAACCATTGAGTGAGATTGAAGAAATGCCAGATGAAAGTGAAGAAATTCATTCAGGTGGAATGTTAAAACGATATATTGAACGACCTTCAAGTCTTCAGAATGTTACATTGGCTGACTGGGAAGCATGGTATGATTCATATAAAAAATCTTATAGTAAGAATATAAAAAAGTTAGACGTTGATCAACTACCACTAGAAACTGCTGACGATGATTTGTGCGATGATAGCGAAAAAGAAACAAACAAAATAAAAAGACGATTAAAAGCCAGAATTATTAGAAGTCCCTGGTTTAGCAGGAAATCTGACCGTGAGAAACATCGTGAACTGATTATGCTTTTTACACCATGGAGGAATGAAGAAACAGATTTAATGGGAAAATATTCATCCGATAAGGAACATTACCTCGCATTATCAGATCAAATCGCTGAGTAGATGAAGCAATATGCCGTTTGTGGTGAAGATCTAAATGAAATGCAACAGCGCTTGAATTCAGATGATAATGATGAACTTTATTTCATTGCTCCAGTGACACAACATGTTGAACGTGAAGATGAAAATGAAGGAAACCAAGATTTACATCCAGATTTTAATGAAGGATACGATCTATCCGATGACCTTGGTATACCGTCACGACAACAAGTGGTGAGCCATTGATATTGAATGAAATGCAAGATGATGAATACCGTTCAATGGTCCAGAAACTTAAAATAAAGAACAAAAAGAATCCTTCGCTCATATTTTACATTTAGCTCATATTTTACATTACCTTCTATAGTTTTCTAAGTGGAGGAGGGGTGTTGGTAAATCTCATCTAACCAAATCAATTTATCAAGCTGCTATTATAATTATTATTATAAGCATTATAATTCTCGTGATGGTGAAGATTTTCATCAAGTTAATATTTCGCTCTTGGCTCCAACGGGGAAAGCTGCATTTATTATCAAAGGTAACACAATTCATAGCGCTCTTGGTAATACCGGCAAGTCAGTCCTTAAAAAATTACAGACATCTAGACTCAAGCAGACTGAACACATTACGAAGCCTCTTATAGGTGGTGTTAAATTAATTTTTGTAGATGAAATATCAATGGTTGGAAACAACATGTTTACTGTTCAAATAAATAACCGGCTGAAAGAATAAAAGGTAGCAAAGAGTTGGAGGAGTTAATATAATTGCAATTGGTGATTTATTTCAGTTACAGCCCGTGTTTGATGGATATGTTTTCAATGATATTCAGGATTCTGAGTATAGCATACTTTCACCTAATTTATGGAAGAAATACTTGAGAATGTACGAACTTAAAGAAATCATGAGACAGCGCGAAAGCAAAATATTTGCTGAAATATTGAATCGCTTGCGAGAAGGGAAACATACTGACTACTGAGGATCACATTGCAAAAATAAAAGAACGATGCGTTGCTGAGATTAACTGCCTAAAAGAAGCTCCGCGATTATTTATACAAAATGCCAAGGTTGATGAATATAACGACACAGTTTATCATGCATCTATACTGGTAACAAATACATCATCATAGCACAAGATAGTGTCATTGTAGCGAATTTTGCTGAGCTGAGAGACAAGATACTAAGACAAGTTCCTCACCTTTCAGTGAAAAATACTAAGCAGCTGGCCAGAACTCTTGCTCTTGCTGAAGGGGAAAGAAACGAAATTGCTCTAAATGTGCGAACTGATGATGGTTTAACAAATAATAATAATAATAATAATAATAATACAGTTTTAGGAGCATCCTACGGAGTCTCGATGCTCTTACAAGGATCAAATCGTATCATTTATACTATATTACATGTATGCAATTACTGAAATATATAAAAACGTGCTATCTAGTCAAAGTATTTCCTAAAAAGATGTGTCTTTACTAAGCCTTTAAAAAATACCTAATGAACTTGAGAGACTAATGTAATCAGGTAGAGAGTTCCATAGCTTAGGAGCACTTACTTGGAATGCTCTCTCACCATAGGTCTTAGTGTTTGATTGCGGAATTAACAGCTAGTAAATTCTGTGATGCTGATCTCAAAGTACGTTTAGGCTTATAAATGTCTAAAAGTTCTGTTATATAGTCCGGTGCTTGGTTATTAAGGGCCTTGTAAGTAATAAGTAGAATCTTAAAATCTATTCTGGTCCTTAATGGTGCTAGCAATGTAATACAATTAGTTCAACTGAACGTACAAAAGAGATTGGGTGCAATTTGACGATGAAGATGTGGCAAAAAGACAAGACAAGAAAATAGACATCTTTACGTTCAAGGTATTCAAGTCACGTGGACTCCAATCAAACCAGTTACCACGCAATTTACTGTTGGTAGAAATAAGTCAGCTCAGGAGAAAACAATTTCCATAGTGAGAAAACAATTTCCGTTACGACCAGCAGCAGCTAAAACTGTACACAGATCTCAAGGTGATACTCAGTCTGAAATTGTGGTAAATCTTGATACCAAAAGAGCAATACCGCACATACACTATGTAGCACTTAGCAGAGTTACTACAATTGATGGGTTATATGTTACCGACTTATGCGAAAACAAAATTTCTGTTGATCCAAAAGTAAAAGCTGAAATGGAAGAATTAAGGACAGACAGAAAATTACAGCTTTGTTATACTCCACTCTACACCATTGATCAAACCTGTCTTAAAATTTGTTATTTAAATGCACGTTCGCTACATAAACATATCGAAGATGTTCGAAAAGACTTTAATTTCACTTCCGCTGATATAGCTATATTTTCAGAGAAAAGATTCAGCCCATTTGATGAAGATGAAATTTACAACAATTATTCCGAAATGACGGAGACATGACCAACCATAACAATGGTAGACCGTATGGCGGTACAGCAGTATATAGCAAGATACATGCAATTTGCTGAGGGATACCCTTATAGTCGCAATATCGATGGCATCGAGTTTACTGTGGTTAAACTTGCCACCAAACAAGAGCTGACAATAATAGGAGTCTATCGTTCGCCAAGAATTCCTGTTGCTCGTCTCTATTGTGCATTAATTGATATTATTGCCCAAGATACTTCCGAGCAAAACATAATAATTGGAGACTTCAATATTAATTGAATGGCTGAAACTCAAAGACAATCACTTTACAATGTCATGGTAAGAGACAATGGCTATAGACAGTTAATATCAACTTGCACAACAGACAATAAAACTACTATTGACCACATATATACAGACATAACTAGCACAGTTAATTCGGGCGTTTTAGAAACGTATTTCAGCCACCATAAGGCAGTTTGGATATCCGAGTAATTACATTCATTAGACTATTAGTACAGAAATTAAATGCACGGCTATTTAAAATTGGTAAGTATAAAGAAACATCAACGGATATAGGCTATATGTAATTGTAAAAATAATTAGGTGATTACAGAAAATTCTCCATGCTGATTAGGCTAGCTACAAACAATTATATTCGCCTCCGACTTGGTGCAGATTAACGTGAATAAAACCTCGATTCGTCATGGTTTTTATTCACTATAATAATCACCTTGCCTTCGGCGAAGATTGGCAGTTATAGCCTAGCTGATAGAAATGTTCCAACTACCAACCACAAACATAAGAGTAAAGTAAATTTTTATCAAAAATCGCAAATATGTTCAAACAAATAGGTAAGAACAAAAAATATACTTAATAGGTAAGAATGTCGCCTCGAGTTTTATATCTGATAAAAGTACTTAAACGATAGGACTGCTCAATTTCAAAGTACTGGCAAGAGACTTCTTTTTTGGCTCATTTTTCAACACATATAGGAAACAACTCCAATGATACATAAATGTCGCTGGCTAATTTTGTGAAGGAGAACACGGAAGGGAGTTTCAGCATATTTATAGGTATACAGCTATTTTAATCAAGGTTGTCCCCGCGAGCAAAGCGGAAACGTCGAATACGAGCGCGAAAGGCTTGCTGGGAATCGCCAGAAAATTAATGATTTTTTTAGCGATTCCCAGCAAGCCTTTAATCGCGCTCGTAAATTCGACTTTTCCGCTTTGCTCGGGGACAACCTTAATGGAAATAGCTGTATATATATACTGTTGCTATGCAGACTGTGTCATTGCTTGGATATATACATACATGCATGCAGTCTCTATGCGAAAAACGTCGTCAATACATGAATATAATTTATGTTATCATGATGCAGGCAGGTGGTTGACAACGAGACGAAACACCCCCTTGAACTGTTCAATAATTAAATATATAAACAGCTCAGTATTATTTAAAACTATCACGGATCGAAAACTTGCCGAAAATTAAATGCAGTGTTCCAGAAAAGGAATCAATTATTATATTTGTAAATCCAGTTTTGTAATATAGGCGTACATGCAGATCTGCATGCCATAGAAAATTCTAGTCATGAGATGAAGTCCATTCTTATCTTGGTTTTTACTTAAATTCCTTAAAGTTATAAACTGTTAAAAGGACGCAATTATGCCTTAAGAGGCACTAAGTGATAGTTCTTGTCAAGCACTTGAACCATGACTTGAATAGCAAAAAGAATAATAACAATGTTCTCTTTATTTATCATTCTGCATTAGACAAGTATTTCAAACTCTCCTTAATTCGTCTTGGAAAAAAGATACTCGTGTAATATCTAATGTTAAAATAGATATGTATATATATGAGACCCAATACATGAAAAATTTGTAATATTAAGTATACGTATTTATATTATACAGTATAATACTTACAAACAGAGTAACATACGCCTAAATTGCTAAAATTCGCGGTCATGCAACAATTTACGAAACTATAGATTAATTGCATTGCAGAGGCCACAGCGTTCAAAAAGACATTTAATGGCATACAAGTTCAGCTTAGAAATCATAATATTTAAAAAGAATATTAAAAAGTCTATTTAAAATTCCGAGCATATCTCACAACTGTAAATATATATTATATATTTACAGAATAAGAAGAACTATATTCATATATTATATATATTAACAGAATAGGCTCATGTCAGAAGACAATCTAAAATGTTATTAAAATTAAAGTACATTTACACGCTACGATTTGTCGTGTATACGATATGTATTCTGGCGTATTAAAATGAGTGCTGGCGCCATAATTCATTGCCGTTTCGTTAAAAAGAATTTCAAATGTAGCCAGCTTACGCGTGTTTACTCACGCACGATAAATCGCAGTATGTAAACGTAGTTTTATACTGCATACAATTTATAGTGAAGTTTATTAACTAAGTAAACTCGATCTATAATTAAATAATTAACTTGAAAGCTCACGAAACGCCATCGCTTCGTGAAGACTAAGTCTGCATGATGTTTCAAAAAGTTTCATTAAATATTATCAGGTATGACTTTACTTACCTGGCCGAATTCTTGAGAAATGTCAGATTCGATATTGCAAATACTTGAAATGACTGTTGCTTAAGACAAGTTGTAGCTTAGAATGACGCTTTCTGCCGACTTCCTGCATCTCAAATCATATGCAAATGCATATAAACTATTCCATAAGAAGTCTCGCTTGGATTCTCTGGAAGACATGCATGCATGCGTCTACATGTATGAAACTTACGAAAGTATAAAAATCAAGCTTACTATAACGATGGAAAGATTGGCTTTCCTAGTAACATATTACATGGTGATGAACACCATATCATCAATACGAAATCGAAGTTCTTATATTTACAAGTAAAACTAAAATTGATTTTGGCCTTCAGCAAATTCCTTGCAAATAACTTAAGATTAAGTTAACCTCTTGCTAGGGAAAGACAAACACATTTTTTCACGAAATTAACATTTACGTTGGCGTACAAAATCATTAACGCATTTACTTCAGATACTTGATATATAGATTACAAACTAAAATATACAACTGTTGTAGCCTATACATGCACGAAAGTTAAAACAACAAAATTGTCATATTAAAATATACTTAGAACATAAAAACATTACTAAAACAAGCCTCCTATTTTTTGAGACTACGGTAAAACGCGTCTAGACAACCGCAAATGGTAACTCATGCAACAATACAAAAAGTCTTTATCTCGACATATCTTTATAACTAATTTAGACTGAAGCCGGTTCAGGAAAGGTGATGTTATTTGTAGAGAAAACATTTCCTAATAACCCATGCTGGTATACGCTGTGTACCTCTTACCTTGTATATGTATACTCTTCTTCCTATATATCCAACATGGGCATAATTAGTCATGCCCAGACTGCGCGCGGTTCCTATGATATCTTCAATCTCCTAGCGTGGAATACTACATTTAACAAGTGCATGATGTATGCCAGTATAATTTATTTGAGGGTATATTTAATTACCAGCGTCCCACACCCCTCCCCAGGAGAATTCCGTGTTTAGTGGTTTAGGATAAAATGCGACCTTAATATAGGAAAGGGAGAAAAAGCTTTATATTTTGCATAATTTTCATTATTCATTTTCCCCCATCCCCTAGATTGGGGGAAAGGATTCACTCCTTGATGGCCTACCCCTGTCTCCCGCACAGCTGCAGGGGAAGGTTGGACAGTGCAACATGTTGTATGGGGTAATTTATCAAAGGCGAATTATTGAAATTTTGTAAAACAGCAAAGTTCCGTCCAAGGGCAAGATTGTGGTAATACACATCATGGCGCGAATGGATAGCTTAAACTTAGGGATATATAAAAATATACATTACATTTTAAGAATAATTATGAAGATAAAAAATAGTGAAACTAAATTACAGCCGGGCTGGAACGATCACCTCGGAGAATGGCTGTGTGACCGCTTAATATAGGTGGCGATTTAATGGGGTAATATACAGTAAATTATAGCAACGTTTTTGTGACATATGTAGCCATTTAAAAAAAGTACCGCCTAATAGAAGTTCGGCTGTGTTTATCCATATTGTTAGAGGTTATCCATATTCATGGTATCATAACCGGCATTTTCACTCCCTTTGTTGGCGACTGTGGTTGAGGTCATCTCCAAGGACTTCTTTCTATTCTTGTTACAATATTGATACCAGCATACCATCAACGTCAGTAACAGCAATGTACCAGTAACACAGCTTACAATGATAAGAGCAGTTTTGAAATCTAGGCAAAATTATCATTTTAATAACTAAAATTTAATGTTTTAATTCTTCTCCGACTACCCACGTGCATCGTAAGCCTCTGACGTCGGACAACCACACCCTGTGCATGTGATCGATATTAAACACTCTCAGTTATTAAAAACCACACATATGTAGCTTTTATCGGTTTTCCTTCTGCGAACGCAGAACATATTTTGCCATCCAGGCCCTCTTCTACAGTTCCACTTAAGCTTCTGAATATTGCAAGGGATGTACATGTAACTATCTCATAAATGCACGCAATATTATAATTCGCTCAGACCGTAGGTGCGAGAAATTAGAACTGAGGAAAAATAATTAAAACGTTTTGAATGAGGTTGATATGAAGAATGATCAAGGTCGACGTTTGTGTTATCAAACGAAGTGGAAGGCTGAGGTTGATAACACAAACTGAAGGCTTGATAATTCTTCTTAGTATAAATTTTGCATATCAAATGAGCTTTCGCGCGTTCTGATTGGCTAGTTGACTAGTAAATCTGAGGCATTATTTACCACCTGGGTAGTAAATAATGCTTTTCAAAAGAATGATTCGGCAAATTTGGTTTCAAAATGGACAAAATATTGAAAAAATCGTCCCAGAAAGCACAAAATGTTGTATTTAACTTGAAAGGTAGGATTTAGTATTATATTACTGTGTCAAACATATTCACGGACAATTTAAAACTTATTTAAAACTCCGAAACATTCGCTTCAAACGTAAATCTGAAATAGCAAAAAATATCCCGACTTTTGGGAAAAGCCGTGGTATTCTTTTTAAAACAATTTTGTTTTGTATCCTATAAATATCTCAATTTGTACGACACTATTTCTTTTGACTATGTCGTGTTTTCATTGTGCTGTATGGTGTCCTTTCGCTGTATTGTACTATTTGTGTTTTTAAAACTTGTAAAGTGAAAAGTGTATTAATACTTTTATATTAATTCGAACGATATAGTTTTACATTTCATTTTACCAAATTTCTCAGCCATTTCCTGAACAAATTAATGCTAAACAGAAACTATTTTTTAATTCTAAGTCTGGTAAAAAAGTCATTCCATCATTGTGTTTATATTCTAACCAGAAATCGAGAAAAATAACTTTGTAATAAAGCAATAAAGTCGCACAGGAAGCCATTTTGAAAGCGTGCGTGTACAAGAAACACTGCAACACTAAACCGTAAACCGGTCGAAAACAGTTTTATTTCTGAATTTTAATTAAACTTATAGTTGGATAACTTGGATATTTTGTTTTATTCATTAAAAATTTATACTAAAACAATTATTCGCCTCAGGCTCAGTGATTACGGTGAATATTCACCTCGACTTCGTCTCGATGAATATTCACCGGTAATCACTTCGCCTTCGGCGAATAATTGTTAAATATGTAGCGAAATTCAATAATTGTTTTATTATTTATTAAAGACGAAAAAGATATCCGCACCTGTGGGTTCAATTCGTCGAAATAATGACCAGGTCGTTTTCTATTTGCGGCAAATCTTTCTTGTTTTCTTTCATAAGTTTGTTAGTAAGACGTTTCAAAACCTTTCGTAGCTGTTTTCGTTGATAATTCTTCATTTCTTCGTTATATTTTAAGATTTGTTTATTGCCTATATATTGTTTTGGTCGCGTTTTTCATATTTCGTATTTCCACAGCATGACGTCATAACGTTGAATAATATTTTTTCATATCAACATTATATGACGTCAGTCCGTTAAATATTATATAAAAAATTAACTCCGTATTTGGTCAGCTATTGAGTTGATACGATGATTTCATAGTTAGCTGTTAGCCAATCATAAAACCACGAATCTTGTAAATAAATAATAATTTCCCGTAACATGCACGAAAATAATCTTTGGGCAACAACACAAAATACTGAAAGTTAGTTAAGCAAGTTAGAAATTATTCTATATGACATGTACTGTAGTAAAATGTTTGATATTATATCTTTGTTGTTTCAGTAACATAAAGAAACTGCATGCTATATTGCAATTGTTGGAAATGTTAAGTAAAAATACGGAAAACCATCACGGAAAACCATCACGTGATTTTCTAGCTTTTCACCGTTTTCGAGCTGCGCGAAATAAATCTGCGTGAAAAGATTGTATTTAGGGGGCACGAAATTCGTGCGAATTTAAAACTGAGCTAAAATTAGTATACCAGGCGAATGCATAGCCTATCAAGATATGATGGTCTGGAAACTGAACGGAAGTCATTGTGTTATGCTTTTGCCTTGTGTACGGCCACGGTGATTGAGCTCATTGTATTTTACATACACACATACATATTTCGTATAATCAAGTAACCGTCCAATAGGGACAGCTGAGTCGAAACATGCAACCACGATGAATAATATTTAGTTGAGACAAAGGATTTGCACATGGTGAGGTACACTCCAACATCAAACAACAAAGGTCTTCTATTTACTGGCTTTGAAGTTTGCCGGGCTTCCAGACCATCATATCTTGACAGCATATGGCGAATGTAAATACAGGTAATGGGAAGCGCGTATTTAATAACGAACGGACGTCATTACTCATTAGGTTTATTTTCTAATAGATGATTTCCATTTACCTTCATCTGCTTTCTCACAGCCTTTTTCTTCCTGAGTATAACCAGGTTCACAGATACATTTCGCTTGTCCATTCAATCGTCGGAAACAATAAGAATGAACAGGGCATTGACGCTGTCCGCATGAATCAGCGCAACTTTCACCATCACCATAATAATTTTCCTTACATGTGCAAGTCACGATTCCATCTTTTATACTGCATGTGGCATGCATGTGACAACTGTGGAAGCCCAAGGAACAAAAATCTGTTTAAAACAAAAAGCTTAATTTATTTTAGATTTCAAGTGGAGGACAGTGTATTATCAACAGTTGCGGTTTTGGGTTATATTCTCATGTTTCGCTGCAATAATTTTTTGGTCGGTCAGTTTGTCCTTAAAAATCGGGCATATTATACTTAAAAACCGGGCAGATTGCACTTAAAAATTGGGCAATTTTATACTTAAAAATCGGCTGAATGATTAATAGGAAGTAATATGCTACGCTTTTGGCAAGTTTATAGCGAAAAATTAGTAATTGGTCGGGCAATTTCATCAAGATCAGGCGCAAATTTTTGTCTACCTCTCGATTTTGTGCACCTCCCTGTCAGTTTGGTCAGTGAGTCGCTGTGTAAAAAAACGAATATTTCAGTTAAATCTTAAAAATTTCCTGCAGTTTTTATAAAACTCTTTTTTACATCTTTTTGCTCATGCACTTTTTTTGCTTCCTGGCTTGTTTTTTTTCCCTTCAGTATAATTGTTTGTTATTTCAACTTTTTTTTTTATCACTTTCTATATTCCTTTTAATGTAGTTATCATTATCGTATCAACGTACCTGCGGTCTTGATCGGTCTTGATGACACAACAGGGATTGCCAGCGGACCATTCCGAACGGCTGCAACTACAACTAGCGCTAATTTAGATGCATTCACAGTCTCACTTTCTTGTAACTGAAATATCAAGACATACTGAGCAACAACACTTCCTTTTATAAAACCAGTAACCTGGCAACCAAGGAAACCTGGGAAATTGTTTTCCTTTCTGATCGCGGATGTTAAAGCGTTCTGAATTTTTTCGGCGAGATTCCTATACTCAGCAGAGTTGGGATTATTGAGTGACTCTGTGAATGTTTGGTTTAGAACAAGCTCAGAGCTAAATATTGTGTTGCCAGTGTCACAGTTGAAGCCGTTACTAATGTAGCCTTTCTTGCAGCGACATGAAATGGAGTAATTCGAGTGCTGGATACATTCTGCATTCTTTGAACAACTTGACTCACTGCATTTCTTGACTAGAGATGGGGGGACAATGAATAATTAAATTCAGCACCAAAGTGACCTGTAGATTGTCTTTACTATACAGTGTCCTAATCAGTAGCATGGCCACGCATGCATTGAGATAATGAATAAATTCAGTGCATTATTCACCTATTTACGCACATGTAATATACGTACAATCCGGAAACGTATCATTTTCACGAATAAATTAGTGTCCGCCTCAAACGTATGCCCGAATGTAAATAAAAATTAAAACGTATATAATTGTAATTTCGTATAATGTCAATAATTTCCATCAACAACACCCTTTGTACATTTTTATACTCCACCCAATTTTTTACCGCAAACCTTAAGAGGACGCAACTTTCACTATAATTTTAACAAATTATATCGCTTTGAATATTGCCCAAAGTTCATTAAACCGGCTTTGAACGTTGATCAATTTTCATACTAATTTTGGGTACTGTAGAAAACAACTGACAATGTCAAAGAATCGTCGTCTCTACCGGACAATTAATGTATACTTCTAGTGATGGGCGATACCGAGTACTCGGTATTCGATACCAGCGATACCACAAACAGCGGTATCGGTATCGATTACTGACGTGGTATCGTTCGATACTTGCACCCTTTTTTAATTAAATGACTTGTTTAATTTCACTTCTTGGTTGAATAAGACTTTATTACAAAAATAAGTGTGAATTTGGGAATAATGTGGTTGATTGACAAAAGTTTTAGAAAATTATGGAAAATTTTTGGATTTTAGAAAAAAAATTTTGATAAATGGGGGAAATTGGTGATGTCCGGAAAAATTTTGGTATGTCCGAAAAAAATTTTTAACCCCTAAAATGGTACACTGACCGAAATTGTTTTGGCGACGGGGGGGGAGGTCGAATACAATAATGTGAAATGTTTTTCCGCTGACTGGGAGGTATCGAAAGTAGCGATACTAGCAATTTGAGTACTCGCTTCCGGTATCGAAAATTGAAATTTTGTGTTCATTATGGTATCGAAATAGGTATCGGTATCGGCCGATACCGATCTTAAAAGTATCGGTATCGGTATCGAATTAAAAATCCTGGTATCGCCCATCCCTAAAATACTTCACAATGTCCTTCACCATTCAAAGCTGAATTAGCGAAATCTTCGGTTAAAATTTAACTTGCTGTTTCGGTTGGCATGTATTTCTGCATGTACAGACATGACTCTTTCTCAAAACTTGAGAAAATAAAACTTCTGTTGACCACGTTTTCAAGAAAAGGAAGATTGCTTTGAAGTTTTGTTAACCTAGGATTAAGCTAACCAGCTTTCGAACGACCGACCTCACTAGGAGGTTATATGCATGCTTTCTCTTCATTTGTTAGCATGACTGATTGATTGCTCTCACCACGATAACTCAAGACATATTGAACAGTTCAATACGAAAGAATTCGAACCAAATGAGTAATCGTCGTAGGACAAGGGCAAATCAATCAAGGTTTTTTTGAATTACGATAAAAATTGGATAAATTTGTGAACCAATTTCGGGCTGTGTAAAAAAAACTCGGTGAATAATTTATGCATGAAATTTTTGAGGTTCGTTGGCGGAGGTATTCAGGTTAACATTAAGTTAGCAGGCATGCAAGCTTACCTGTACGTAGCTGTAAAATAGCGTTTGTGATTTCATAGAGGGTCATGTCATCTGACGAAGGCACAGTAGAAATTTTCACGTCTTTAATACCCTCTAGCTGATGAGTAGTGAACATATGTAGTGTCGTGTAATTTTCAAGGCTGATACTTAACACTTGAGTCAGCAGGTGAGCGACTGTCATCTCTTTCAAACTTGCACGAGAAACGTCAAAGAATGTTGAAATGTTTCGTATGGACAATGTCTTAGTGAATATCATCTTGTTTTCTCCAACAAGTATTTGTTTTAGTTCCTTGTCTGTCGTACTGTTGATCTTTTTCAAAGAAAGCCTATTGAAATGTTGTCTAATTTTCATGACATCCAAAGATATTTGAAGATTATTTTTGTAAGTCATCAAACTTGTTTTGTACTCTGTTAGTTTGCCCAAAAGATTATTAATTTGAACTGTCTTTTTTACTCGCTCGAGCACCTCGGCTTTAGAATCAAGAAGGACTTGTTTTGTTAAACCTGATAACTGAAGAATATCGTCAAAACTGATATTAAGTTCCTTCGCAAGCTCAATGCTTTTCACATACATTCTTAGTCTATCTGTTTGGTGTAAGAATATTTGGGCAATGTACTTTAACATGGTGTTGTTTCCAGTCAGATTGTGTTCGTCACTGACAAATGTAAGATGCATTAAAGTTGTCTTGTTGAGCAGTTTGACTTGATATGGAAACACTTGTAGATTCCGTACTAAGTCCAAAGCTGAGAACAGTTGGTTGTTGGTCAATAATGCATGGAGATTCTTTGATGGTCTTTCTGCCATCCTAGGTATTACTTCTTTCAGAGTGCTTAGGTAATAAGTCGTAAGGTTCATGTTTGGTCCTGGAGAATAGAAATGAATACTCAGTTCCAATATACGTAAATTAGGCTATTAATTTTTGCTTTTAATGGAATAGAAAAACTAATTGCAATTAACGGTAAACATTTTGAAAAGTGTTTTTTAATTAAAGAGAACACCTTTCAAAATGTTTACCGTTTTCCGAGTTACTATTGTTTTGTATTGGCCTATTTTGAAATACGGCTAGGTTACTAGGACTATGGAAATGAGTCTATGTGGGGAATAAAATACTTTGAAGTGATTTCGAGAAGTTATGTCAGTTCAAATACTCGACGACGACAGAGATTATTGAGATTTCAAGTTCTCGTGTGTCAAAAATACCGGTTCTTTGCCTCAACTCGGATTTTGAAAGGAAAATCGTATAGTCACTATAATTCATGAAAGGATTAGCCAAAGACTAGTCATAGGTCTTTATTTCTGGCCCATGATGATATTCAGTGATAAATCCTACGACTGGAAATTTTTAGATACGCCTTTTGAAAAGTCACAACGAATGGACTGAAATTCATGTCCTCGCAGTTGGTTCCAACCTGTGGAAGATAAGACTTGAAATCCGTGTTAGTGTTTTATTTCATGCTTATAATATAGTCATGTGATCTTAACTCACCAGATTTTATTGCATTGATAAAAGGTAGGAGGGACTGTACATCTGAATAGACACCATAATGGTTTGGTTCAGCACAACCTATACCCCAGCTGACGATACCTATCTGTACCCATGATCCATTGCGATCACATTGCAGTGGGCCACCACTATCACCATGGCAACCATCAGTACCGCCTTCCTCAAAACCGGCACAAATAAATCTGTCCGGGATAAACCCATTATATGAAGTGTTACTGTTGCATTCATCAAGGGGTACCAAATCCACTTTAGCTTCTTTGAGGACAGGAGAACGATGATAGTCTTCAGCGTTTATGTTGTTCCCCCATCCAGTAACATAGCATGTGTCATTCACAAATATTTCTCTATCTTCAACAAGACATACTGGTCGTACATTCTCACTATATGTCAAAGGTCTTGCTAACTCGATCAAAGCTATATCATAATCTCCCGGCTCGTTGTCTGTTCCTCCGATAAACTGAGGATGAATGAACATTTTTGATGCTTTGATCGTATATTCGTGAGTATCTGTGAAATTCAGTTTATGGTCGCCAACATGGTAGGTGTAGTTGGACAATGGTAGTATACTCTCTTCAGACAGAACAAAACAATGGCTTGCAGTTAAGATCCATTTACGTTCAATGATGGCTCCGGCGCAATATTGTTCACGAGTGTTTGAGTCGATGAAATTTACAATCCATGGCCAGGAATTCTTTGAAGCTTCACGTCCACCAATCACTCTCTTTCTTCGTGATCGGGAGTTTTCATTACGTACACCACAAGCAAAAGAAGAACCTATCAAGCAAATACGGCAGTAACCCATATGGCATAAGTAACGCATCAGTAACATATCACTAGCACGTGGGGCACTTCAAATCGGAAGACAATTTTAATCGTAGAAATTGGGTAAGAAATACTATAAAGTGAAAACGTATGATAGTTTAAACCTTCCCTCTGCGGATAGCAAAATACATCATCGCGAGTGAGTAAAGAATCAAGCTGACGTTGGAAGGAAAGGTAATAATAACAGGGAAGCATTTAGTATTTTTGCACAAGTGAACATAACAAATCCTACACGTTGATTGGTCAAATTTGACGTAATAAGCTGTTATATTCACCTACAGGTGAATATAACAAAACAAAAATTTTCAAAATTGCGGCTACCCGTTTTGTGGAAGTTTACTGACAAAGAAATAAGCGAAATTAAAATAAATTCAGTCTCAAAAAACAAAAGCTTGTGTAAAAATACTAATTAAAAACAATTCACCTCGCCTTCAGCGAATAATTGTTAAATACTGGGAAGATAACAGGGAAGATAATAATATTAACTTATACTGGTGGAGATCCAGGCTTACAGATCGAAAATTTTGCCAAATAAATATACATGAAATTTTTTCAGTTACAGAACAAAAATTGCATTTCGTCTTATTTGACAGAGCTCGAAAAAGTTTAAATTAATTTCAATCTCCAACCAACCCATGGAAATAGAATATTTTAACTGAACCAAGCGGAATACTTTTACTAAAATTTCTAATGAAATAAAGTGACTTAATAATTACCATGGGCTTCAAGCATTTTCATCACCAAACCATAAAGATTTTGATCATCTGGATATGGAACAGTTGAGATTTTCTTCATTTTTACAACATCAATTTCTCTACCTGTTAGCTCGTGTAATGATGCAAATGTAGTAAGTTTAATATTGAGATATTCAGTTAGTACGTTGCCAACAGTCATATTTTTCAACTTTTCCAAACTTATTTCAAAGAAAGATGACATATTACGGATACTCAACATCTTTGTAAACAACTGTTGATTGTGCTTCACAAGAATCTGCTTCAGTGATTTATTGTCAAGCTTTTTCAAGTCGTCTGCAGGTTTATTCAGATCTTTTTTAATTTGAGAAATGTTGAACATAACGCTTAAACCCAGTTTGTAGGTCATTAAAGTATCTCTGTACATTTGAAGATTGTTAACATATCTTTTAATATACATTTGTTTCCTAATATTTTCGATCACGCTAAATTTGGAATTTAGGAATCCGTCTTTGGTTAAGTTAACTGATTTGTAGATTTCTTCAAATGTAATGTTAAACTCTTTCCTTGCTTCATTACTCTTATAGTAAACATACAGCCTCTCAACTTGCTGAACTAGATGTTCAGTGATGTATGCTAATGTAGTGGTATTCGCGGTTAAATTCTCCTTCGAACTAACAAATATAAGATCCTTTAACGTCGTTTTGTTGAGTAGTTTGATTTGATATGGAAGGAACTGAAAATTTCTGACTAAGTCGATATCAGAAAACTCGCTTTCGTTTGTCAACAACTCGTGAAGGTTACTTAAAGGTCTTCTTCCCAAATCTGGTCGTACGTCTCCCAACGTTTTCATGTAGTACGACGATAAATTGGAGTTAGGACCTATAATGGAAAAGTCATATAGTGTTATATATAATCTACAGGTTTTTGTGTATATACATCAATACTTCATGCACTTATTCGCGTAGGCCCTTTTTGCACTATACTCTTATTTTGTGGTTACGCGAACGAAGAGCAAGGCATTTTTTCTTTATTGTTTAAGTATCTTTATATTCAAACTGATTTCACAGTGTCTGTTGCTCAAATCATTCTTGGCAAATTGTGCCTTCTCTCAGATAGACATTTATTTTAAAAAGAGCACCATTTGTATTGCCCATGTTTTTACAGACACATGTAAATTTTATCATGTGCTTGAGCTCTATAAATTTACTAGTATATTATTAAAATATAGAATATATATAATTTCGTTTCAATGAAAATATTAAAAAGGGAATGATAATAAAAGTTGTAAGTTCGTCTTTCCAAACCACATTATAATCTAAAATAGAAACAAATACCGAAAAGCTAATTTGAAGTGACAGAAATTGTTTTCAAGGACGATACGAAGTCATTATTGAGTTGAATCGATCCTATTAATAAATACATTCAAACAACCAGATCATAATTTGCATTCGCAAAGGTAACTTTTTGTAGGGAGTAGCAGGTGCATGGTCCTTGCTTAATTGTACTGCAGGCTATTCCTGCCTTGCCTGATTATCCTGCATTATAGCACAAGTGCATCATCATCTTGTATAGACGACAATCCCAACCTAGAATGAAATCTCAACAGTTTATTTAAGAATGCATCCTATATGCACTGAACCCCTACGAAATGTTCACTTTACCTGCTTGTATTGACTCAATGAATGGTTGAAGAACTCTGACATCAGTGTACACGCCATAATGGTTTGGTTCAGCACAACCTATACCCCAAATCATGATCCCTAGTTGTGTCCATGTATCATTACGTTTACACTGGTAAGGTCCCCCACTATCACCATAACATCCATCGATACCACCTTCTTTACGACCAGCACAGAGAAATCTGTCTGATACTTCGCCTTTATATGAAGTATTACTGTTGCATTCCTCAAGACTGACCAAATCAAGCTCGACTTCTTTTAAAAATGGTGAACGATGATACCTTGATACATTTTTATTGTTACCCCAACCAATCAAAACACAAGTATCATTTTCACTGAAAATATCTTCCTTTATTCCCACACAGATAGGTTGAACATAATCAGTGTAGTTAAGCGGTTTCGAGAGTTTCATCAAAGCTACATCATAATCACCTGGAGATATCCAATCACCTATAACATACTTTGGATGAATATAAACTTTCGATGCCTCAATTTCATATTCTTGAGGATCTGTGAAGTTCAAATTATGATCAGCAAGATGAATGGTGTAGTTGTTGAAAAGTGGAGCAGGTTTTGAATTGAACAAGAAACAATGTGCTGCTGTTAAAATCCATTCACGATCGATGATAGAACCAGCACACTGTTGGAGATTTTTGTGATCTATGAAGTTCACGATCCATGGCCAGGAATTAGAGATGGCTTGCGATCCACCAATTACTCTCTTAACACGCGTGTGTTCAGTTGTCAGTATCTTGCGTTTGCCAAAGGGGCAGCGGTATCCGGCTGCAAGAATCAATACAACAATGAACAAGTTACAAAAGCCTCCGTGCGTATATAGACTGATAGATTGCAATGCAATGCATACATGCATATTAGGTAATAATATATAATAATAATGCATGAATAAGTTCTTTCAAAGAATATGACACTTATAGACTTGTACAATATGAGGTCTTAAAAAACTCACGAATACGTATTTTTTTAAATAAATTGCACAAGAAGTTGTGTTATTACTTAGGCCTAATTCTATAGATTATGGGGAAAAATAATGATATAGATGCATGAAAATAAACTTGCCGTCAAGATATTTGTGTATCGATAATTATATCTATATTTTTTCATTAATTAAAAATAATTTTTGCACAAATTTATATGAAACGCTGGAATATTTCTCTATAATAACTGCTAATAATACTAACTCTACGATTCAAATATTTTACACAAACATTCAGTTTTGGATAGTAAACAGGCCAACAATACAATATCAACCTCGTTCCAACAGCAAAATGTGTGTTAGAATAACGTTTGAATTACCTTCGGCTTTGCCAGGCCAAATAACTAGACACGTAGTCCATAAAATGAACGAAGCTCCAATTTGGAGTTTCATGACCAATATATGTGCTGTAACAGAAAAAAAACAACTTTAATTAAGACATCTTGAACCCTGGGTGTTTTACCCGGGGCCATGGTATTCGACTTCGAATACCACGGTTGAGCGGGAAATTCGACTTTTTTAAATGTAAAGTTATCAAAAGTTGTGTTTTGAAATTAAAAGTTAATTGAATGGTATTTGTTTTCTACTTATTTTTGAAAGGTTCGGTATAATATACCATTTATAGACCTTTCACTCGGGGTATTCCACAAAAAATTACCCTGCGGGATGAAATATTCCTCGGGCTTCGCCCTCGGAATATTTCATCCCTCAGGGTAATTTTTTGTGGAATACCCCTCGTTTCAGGTCTATAACTGATAAATATACTCTCATTTTAATTCTTCATCCAGAATAATCCCTAATACTTTTTTGTTTATGACCTGTTTAATGTCATGGCTACCAATAGTTATATTGGGATTTCCTGAATATTGTTTCAGTTTTCTCTTTGACGCTATTAACATAAATTCTGTTTTTTCTGTGTTAAGAGTCAGCTTGTTTGTCTCTAGCCAGATATTAACATTATGCAGATCATTGTTTATCTTATTCTCAATCTCTAAAAGCGAAGTGCCAGAGCTTGATATACTGGTATCGTCTGCAAACATTGAGGCCTGGGTTTCTTCCAGGCAATTTGGAAGATCATTAATATGAAACTGAAAATAATAATGGACCCAAATTAGAACCCTGTGGTACTCCGCATGTTATTACATTCGGTTGTGAATCAATTCCTTGTATCTTGCACCTTTGTATTCTATTGCTTATGTATGATTTAAAAAGATTTAGGGCTACTCCTCCAATTCCATAAATCTTTAGTTTTGAAATTAAAATTTGGTGATCAACCGTATCGAACGCCTTTTTAAGATCAAGAAACAAAACACCATTTAATATGCTTTTGTCCATGTTCAATAGATACTGATCTGTTTTATGCAAAAGAGCAGTTTCTGTGGAATGGCATTTTCGAAAGCCAGATTGTTGTTTGACAATGATGTTATTGTCGTTTAAATGAAGAGCTAATTGGTCTGAAATAAGCGTTTCTAAGACCTTTGAAATTGCCGATATTACAGAAATTGGTTTATAGTTTTCACATTCACTTTTATCTCCGTCCTTGAAAATCGGAGTTACTCTAGATTGTTTTAGATCGTCTGGGAATATACCAGTTACCAACATCAAGTTATAAATATATAGAGCAATGACTCATATATAGTGTATCCTGCAGCCTTCAGCAATTTATTTGTGATTTTATCTCGCCCTTCTGCTTTCTTTGTTTTCATCCTATTTAGAACATTAGTTAAATCCTCGACAGAGATTTGTTTAAACGCAAATCGGCTAGTACAAGGAGTAATGTATTGTAGGTGGTCAACATTATTTCAGTGTTGGAAATTTTTCAGCCAATTTTGGTCCTATCTCACAGAAGAACTTATTAAACTCATTGGCAATGTTTTCATTACCAGTAACAGTCTGTCCATCAACTTGAAGTTGGTTCACAATCACAGCTGTTCTTTTAGGTTTCCTATTAAGTAATTCATAGTCATTTATGTACTTCCAATTGTCTTTGCTATTTTTGCTATTCTCCAGCCAAATTTGATAATAATGTTTTTTAGAACTCCTTATTAACTTGGTAACTTTTTGCACTATACTCTTATTTTGTGGTTACGCGAACGAAGAGCAAGGCATTTTTTCTTTATTGTTTAAGTATCTTTATATTCAAACTGATTTCACAGTGTCTGTTGCTCAAATCATTCTTGGCAAATTGTGCCTTCTCTCAGATAGACATTTATTTTAAAAAGAGCACCATTTGTATTGCCCATGTTTTTACAAACACATGTAAATTTTATCATGTGCTTGAGCTCTATAAATTTACTAGTATATTATTAAAATATAGAATATATATAATTTCGTTTCAATGAAAATATTAAAAAGGGAATGATAATAAAAGTTGTAAGTTCGTCTTTCCAAACCACATTATAATCTAAAATAGAAACAAATACCGAAAAGCTAATTTGAAGTGACAGAAATTGTTTTCAAGGACGATACGAAGTCATTATTGAGTTGAATCGATCCTATTAATAAATACATTCAAACAACCAGATCATAATTTGCATTCGCAAAGGTAACTTTTTGTAGGGAGTAGCAGGTGCATGGTCCTTGCTTAATTGTACTGCAGGCTATTCCTGCCTTGCCTGATTATCCTGCATTATAGCACAAGTGCATCATCATCTTGTATAGACGACAATCCCAACCTAGAATGAAATCTCAACAGTTTATTTAAGAATGCATCCTATATGCACTGAACCCCTACGAAATGTTCACTTTACCTGCTTGTATTGACTCAATGAATGGTTGAAGAACTCTGACATCAGTGTACACGCCATAATGGTTTGGTTCAGCACAACCTATACCCCAAATCATGATCCCTAGTTGTGTCCATGTATCATTACGTTTACACTGGTAAGGTCCCCCACTATCACCATAACATCCATCGATACCACCTTCCTTATTAACTTGGTAACTTGGTTTTTACATTTTTTATAAGCCTCGTGATATATATCAGAATTTAATTTCATTGCTTGTTTCTTAAGGTAATCTTATTTCTTATTTTCCTTGATCTATATGGCGCATGAATATCTGCAATTTGATAAAATATATCCTTCCACTCATGCAATGCAGTATTCGGATCTGGATGTAACGTGAAGTATCTAAACGCTTCTCTTACGTCATGCTGGAAGTCGCCTATAATATATTAAAGGCTTTAAATTGCCTTGTTTCTACAACCCTCGGTTCCTGTTTAGGAATTCCTATTTTTCTACAAATATATGCCAAGTTATATGGTCGCTTATACCCAATTCCATTACACCCGATCGAATAGTTTTAGTATCATCAATTTTCGTGATTATGTCTATCTATCAATGCTTTTGTCCTAATAGTAGTTCTGGTTGGCATGTTAATATGTTGTCGTAATTGATAAATGTCTATTAGGTTCAGAAGTGTCCTAGTATTAATGTTATTACTTTCGTTATTCAACATATTGCAGTTGAAATCACCTGTTATGACTACCTCTTTATTTTCATTGTCAATATTTTTAAGGAAAGTTTCGAAATCATTAAAGGGGGCATTAAAAAATTGCGGTTTTGATCCTGGAGGGCGGTTCCAAGTGGAAACTAGTAATGGTTTGCTTTTTGGCTTTCTTATTTCGAGACAAATTGCCTCAGCAGTATCTGGAGACAATTCAGTCCTATTTATGTATGGAATAACACTCCTCGCATAAATAGCTACTCCACCTTCATTCCGATTTCTGTCCTTTCTTATCAAGTCATATAACCAGCTATTTCAACCTCAGAATTATATATAGAGCTATCAAGTCTTGTTTCCGATTAATACAAAGAAGGTCAAAAGGTTGCAAAGATATATAAATATAGACAATTCATCTTTATGTTTCATTAAGCTAGCAATATTTAAATGTCAAATCTTGAAGCCTAAGCTTGGGATGAGTCACTTCGCATTCATTTAGGCTATTAATTAATTTTGGGGGTTGTAGAGCATTCATTACTGTTACCTATTATGGGACTTTCATAAGGAGACAAAGGGGCCAAAGTTAAGTTCGGCGAAATGTACGGCTAGTTTACATTGTTCGTCATATTATGAAATATGATATCATTGCGCACCCAGCGCTGCGCGAATTCTAGTACTGCGCGAATTTTAATACATGTAAGGTATATTGTGGACATTTGACTAAAACTATCGTGAGAAATTAGGATATTTTGTTTCACTGAATCGAACGGTAGTCTTTATAGCATGCACCGAACCGAAGAAATTCACCTTGCAAAGTCATAGAGTCGAGAGATTTGAAGACAAATTATATTGTATTTATAATGACTACTCGACTTTGTCTTCGAACAAAGAAATCAATTAATAGTTAAATTATCAAACTCTTTCAAATACAAAGTAGCCAGATATTTGTAGTAGGTAGCCATAAAGTAGGTAGCCATATAAACCTCGATATTCGCAACTTTAATCTTTATTAAACCGGTTCATCACATCGATAAATAAACACTGAATAGTAAACTAAACTTGTACTGTATAACACTTTATGTACATAAAGTGTTATACAGTACAAGTTTATATACTGAAAATTTCGGGTAAAACACTTTAAAGGCACATCTTTGAGTAGCCTGCTCGCAGAATTGAAGATGTTGAACATTATTGAACACTATGAATTTATCGCCTTGACAAACCACTACATAATCATACAAAGCTAAAGGTATATTAGTCGTAGTTACGAAAACATGGAACGACCCACAACGATCCCACAAAGACCCCGCAACGACCCAAAACCAGCCACAACGACTCACAACGATCCACAAGTTCACAACAATCCAACAACATTCTGTGCCCCGATCATTGGCCACCATCAGTACTTCCACAGCTATTCCCGTTATAGAGAAAATCAGGGCGTAGGGAACGTATATCTATGGTAGGGAAATCCACAGGGAAAATCTCTGCATGCTCAAGTTGAAGTCTTGCATTTTCCCGCCAATTTTGATCACATGTGTTGATTATTAAACATGTCGGACGAAAAAGGTGTGTGTGTATGATGTGTACAACTCCAAATAGTTATCAATATTTTTCGGCCAAATATTTTAGTCGTTAAAAACAGATCTTTGATTTCTTTTGCACTATGTGTGAGAAATTCTGTAGTCATTACGAACATCGTCTGTCTTCGTGTTGTTCTGCCGTCTGCACGAGCCTCATTTAATTTTTACATTTATTTTTGCTGGCTGAAACTGAAAAGTGTTCATATTGTTTTCATATTATACTGAAAGTAAATATATTTATTAGTACAGTGGTGTATGTCCCGAATGTCATGAACAGAGATATTCCTCTATCTGTGTAGCTAATTTATTCTCCGCGTTTTAAATCCCACCGGTTCGCGTGAAGATCGGGATTAGGATCGAAAGTTGCAATAATAAACTGCGTGGTGTATCCAAAAACAATAACTTATATTATTTATTGTCATGCAAAATTGCAACTGAAGGTAATTTTGGGATCGTTGTGGGTCGTTCCATGTTTTAGTAACTACGAGGTATTAGTATACACTTTGACTGAATTGACTCCTTGTATTAGGACATTGACCAATCGATTAGTGGGCTGTAAACTCATGAAATACCCCTATGCGAATGCAAATAATTCGTTAAAGTGAGGCCAGAAAATTTTACAAAAACATGTAGAAGAACAAAATAAGAATAAATTAACTAGCGTATAACTTAAAGCTCGTTTGGGATCTTCATCTCTTCTTGTACCTATCTGTTCGCTAATTTAGCTCAACATAAGTCCGCATACCTCCCAGTATTTTCGTGCACAAATTACACTGAACAAATTCAATTATACACTGAACCTCGGCTGACGGCTGTTAGCCAGATACAGTTAGCAAGGGGACCAACTGCCCCCGAAAACTATATTTACGATTTTTAGAATGTCATTATTAATTATTCTTTGGATATTTGGGACTTTTTTCGGCATATATAGGCCTTACTGCCCCCCTGGTGAAAAAATCCTGCGTACGGCCCTAGTTACCGTTTAAGAAAGGTATCATTGAAAAGCTAAATTTGACAGCTCTTTCGTCCTGGCTATGTAAATATTGAATTGTTTAGCTAAGTTTGTGATGCACAACAGCATGTTGAATTTCCATAGGCATAGCGTTGTTTTTGAGACACCCTGTATAGTAAACTAATAGTTACTATTTTGCCAACTTTAAGATCCTTTAATAAGTTTAATTAACCCAAAACCGGCTTGAAAATTCGCACTATTCGCTTAATTAAATCATAAATGTCTTATAATTTATACTGATAGTGATATACTTTTTTGCGATCTTGCTTCGAGTAACTATTATATAGGCTAGCTATTTAACAATTAGACAGCGAAGCCGAGTTGTCTATGCACGGGCAATAGGACAGGTGTAGTGTTGTTAAATAGAAAGTTAGAAATGGTATTATACTTACTCATGCATTATAATTATGTTTAAAAGATCAGAATATTCATAACTTCTTATTTTGTTTCATAAATAGTTCTTTAATATTCGAAACAAATTCCATATCTGCTTCGTCTGCCATCGCATCCTCGTCCCCAGGCCCAAGCTCGGGCGGCCCTCACAGTGGGGGCCGCCCGAGCTTGGGCCTGGGGACGAGGATGCTGCCATCGCCATGTTTACTCGTCCCAATCTACATGCTGCACGGCATTGCCGCCCCTCCTGGCAAAATAATAAGCAAGCGAGAAAAAGTAAGGAGAAATAAGAGGGTAGGAACATTGTGGGCGTTTCGTGGGCGTGTCATCGTTCTGGGCGAATCGGCTTTCGCAATCTTGTATCACATGACTAATTCAAATCGTCATAGGCGGGAAGCAGCATTACGTCACAGAATAGGAAGTTATACCAGAAGCGTAACTCGAGCAAATATTTGTCCGCGTTTTTACAAGCGATTCGTCATCAATCACGCCATCCTGGCTAGTACAACCGGCACTTTGTACCTACCAAATCCTGATAAAAACTTCCGGCTGTACTAGCCAGGATGGCGTGGTCTGACGTGAGCGAGTTAAAATTTTCGTGGACGTCAAACAATAAGGGAAACGACTAGAGTTACGCTTCTGGTATAACTTCCTATTCTGTGATTACGTCATCTCTACGTCAAATAAAACGTTATAAAACGCGTCGAGGATCAGTGGTCGAGGATACGTTTGTGCCATATATGGAAGTTATGGATACGTTTATGCCATATATGGAAGTGTCACTGCATCCAGCTTATGACAACGATGTTCCTACCCTCTTATTTCTCCTTAATTTTTCTCGCTTGCTTATTATTTTGCCAGGAGGGGCGGCAATGCCGTGCAGCATGTAGATTGGGACGAGTAAACATGGCGATGGCAGACGAAGCAGATATGGAATTTGTTTCGAATATTAAAGAACTATTTATGAAACAAAATAAGAAGTTATGAATATTCTGATCTTTTAAACATAATTATAATGCATGAGTAAGTATAATACCATTTCTAACTTTCTATTTAACAACACTACACCTGTCCTATTGCCCGTGGTCTATGAGCGAATAGTCAACGAGGCGAAGCCGAGTTGACTATATTCGTTCAAAGACAACGAGGCTGAGTTGTCTAATTGTTTTAGTATAAACCACATAAAGAAAGCGGAATTTTTCACTTGATTTTTATGTAAAATAATGTTTTAACGAAATGAGCGTTTAAATGACTTCCTTTGGCGACATTTCGCCTCGGCTTTGTTGACAACTAGTCAGTGTTGCGAACTCCCAAGAATGACTTGAAAAATACAACTTGTGAGTTTTAAAAAAGTTAAAAAACATGTCGTAAAACAGTATAATAGTAAGAGACCGTTACAGAAGCAAAGTTTGGTCAATTAAAACTTATTTAAAAGAAGGAAACAAGGCTTAAAAAGTCCAAAATTTCGAACCGCACAAAATGCATGGCTTCCCGAATTGTTACTAAATTAGTAAATAAAGTTTACGTTAAGAAGCCGAATAAAAATGCACACACATGCAAAAGAATCCGATTTTCCGAATGTCGTTGAAATCTTTAAAATATCTGGAACATAAAGAGGCAAACAATTTCCATAATCTAGTATACATAGACAATAGTTTAGATTAAAATTTAATCGAAAAACTCGACTTAAAAAGGCTCCAAAAGGCGAAAAACAAACTCGGCCGAAATCTCAACATTTAAAGGAAAAAACTCGTTAAAATGCCAGCTAAATACATGAAATCGTACTTAAAACAAGCACACCGCTAAAGAGGTTGAGAAAATAGGGGTAAATAGCAACCTCGTACCCAGGGCTTCTGCGCTTATTGGGGCGCAGAAGCCCTGGGTACGAGGTTGGGTAAATAGCTACAAAGTATTGTTGAATTTCAACGATTCTGCTTGGAATATAGCCTGCGCGGCAGGCGGTATTTCTACAGGCAGCGAAAATTAGGGAGGCATTTCCTAAGTACCGCCTGCCATGCAGGCTACTTGGAATATTAACAAACGGTGATTGCTAGAAAGTATACTTCAAAATAAGGTTTCCGTTTTTATAACGTAGAAAAAACCATCCTAACGCAAAACTAAACCCTAATACTAACCCGAACCCTAACCACAACCCTAACCTAACCCTAACCTAACCCTAACCCTAACCTACTTATTTAAAAAATTGATATAAAAACGGAAACCTTATTTTGAAGTATACTATCTAGCAATTGCCATTAACAAACGTTGTGCATATATTTTAAAAAATCGTCTGTCATTTTCAAGTTCAAAACTACGAGCAAGGTTGAGAAAACTTAAAAACTTTACCGCATGTGTCAGCAGTTTCCAAGAGTCTTTGTTTGTGTGTAATCCAGAACCAAAATTAGGCCATTTTGATAAGCTTTTTCCCTTTAAATGCAGCTTTTAATACTTAAAAACGGTCATTGACTCTCGCGCCCTTCGCCGCTTGTTGCTACTAGTAGGCTATCACTAATAGCCTGCTAGTAGCGTAGCCACTGCTGACCATGACTCGCGAGATGAATATTGAGAATTATTATTGTCAATCCTTATCTCAATTCTTGGATATATATCAAATTCCTTAAAGGACATTGGCACCCAAATTTTTTATTACTTATATCTATTAGGTATACTTGCGGAATATTTAATTTCATATTTTGGCCGGTTTGTCGCGTTTAGTTGTTGAGAAAATTTGATAAAAAGTTGGACAGTTGTCCACCATTTTGAAAATAAGCGCGTGTGCTAATTTATGCCACAAAATACATTATTTGACGTCATTGGCTGGGTAAATACAATTTCATGACTATAAACAATACCGAGCATTGCCACGCGTAGTATATTTTGAGCCGAAACAAAAGGCAGCAAAGTTTTACCAAGTATGTAACTTGTTTGTAACACTATTTCTCATAGTATATATAATACTCCGTGTTGAATAAACGCAGAAATTCGAGTGTAACAAGACAAATACTAATGCAATATTTTATGATCAATTACCTGTATTGTAAATTGCGCCATTCCTTGCTTTCCCAGTCGCTCGATATGTTTTTATCTGATAGTGTAGACTTCTCTTGTTTGATTGCGAATAGCGTTGGGCAGTATAACGGCCCAATCTCGCAAGGGTCAGTATAGACTTATAGTATAAATGTATATTATATTATATTAATGTATATTATAGTAAAAATATGTCGTAAAATATAAATTTTAAAATGAAATTGACTTGCCTATTTGATAGTGTGTGTTCTCCTTTTATTCCTCCTTTGTTGGACTAATATTTTCCGAGACTTTGTACTCGATATTACTAGTATACATGAAACATGATAAAGGCTAACGATTCCCGATCGTCGATACGACGGCACGGCACTTCGAATCGAAAATTCTCACACTCAAATCGCTTTATTCTCAAAAAAATTCGCCAGCATGTACAACAAATGCCGTTCTTCGAAAATACAGAGGTACTTCGGCGAGATGTACAAGTTTTGGACCATATTTTAACAATGGAAATCAAAACCCATTTTATATTGAACTTGCCCAGGCCGAAAATTACTACGGCGAACGTCTGCGCAACCAGGCCTCCTTTACCGTTGGATTTACAGGGGGGAGGATGCCACTAATATATTCACGATAATATTTCGAATTAAAG